ATGTGAGCCCCATGGGAAACATCATGGGTCTTGTAAAGGGACTTGCCAGCCCCTCGTCGTCTTCTGAGGTGCTCTGATAATGGGCCGCTAGGGCAACATGGCCCAGGGCCTGCGTCTTCCATTCCAAACACTTTCATCCATGGAGGACTGGGCTCAGTGGGTCCACGTACAGGGGCAAAGCTGGCTGAGCATTTCTCGAGCTTCCAGATCCATAGAAACAGAGCGAGTCAGAAGGGGTCTCCCAGGCCACCTAGTCTAACCCTTGACTCCGGCTTGTGACATGCCCACCAAGTTCCTGTTCCTGATGTTCCAAGATCCAGCTCCTGATGGAGCACAAGGCTTATGCAGAAGAGGGGCAAACCTGTTGTCCACACAAGCGTGATGGAATGCATCCAGGGAAAAGCCTGTCTGGGTCAGGCCTCAGCCCCAGGACAACCTGCAGGGTGCTTCAGGGCTTTGCTCCAGGAGCCCTCGTGAGCAGTAGCCAGTCCCCATTCTTTGTGGATGGATCAGAGTGTGTAGGAAGGCCGAGAAATCCAACCCCTGGGGAAAACCTTGCCAAGGGGGCATTTTTCTCCTGCAAACTAAGCCAAAGACACTTCAGTAAAGCAAGCGGGATGAAGCCCATGAAGTCATGCATGCTCCAGAAGGATCGCTTGGGCCTGCCTCCACTTCCACTCCCCCCAAACTGGTGCCCCCCAGATGTCCTGGACTATGCTTCCGAGGGTCAGCCATGCAGGCTGGCACAGATGGGAGTGCTGAACATCTGTGGAGCCCAGGCTGGGGCAGGCAGGCGGTGGGCCATTCCCCGTCACACGCGGCAGTCGCAGCTGATCGGCTGCGCGTGCCCTTCCCACTTCGGCTTCTGACTTCCTTGCCCGTGCAAGCTCCCTCCTGGGGCTCATTTAGGGGGCGTGGAGGCGCTGGCGAGTCAATCATGACACAGGCCCCGTTACAGCAGGGCTGTTTAGAACTGCTTGGTCATAGCAAAGCACAGACAACACACAACAGCAAAAGGGGAAGTGAAAGCGAAATGGAAACCGAAATCAACACTCCTCAGTCTTCCAGCAGTGGATTTGTTTGGTATTATAAACAGCACCCATTGAAAATGAGAGAGGCTGGCCGGGAATGCACACACAGCCATCCACACGGAAGGTTGCCTCCCACTGCTGCCTGGCTACCTCCCTTGCAGAATCCGTGCTGCATTTAGCAAGCATGGCTGCCAACTGACCGGGCCACCAGGGCTTCTGCGCTTAAGAGCCGGTGAGCAGCAGCAACCATCAGTGGGGGAAGCGCCTCCTCCCAGCAGGAATGTGGGCGCAGCAGCTTCCGTTCCAGGGGGAACCCCACGCACGAGTGCTCTGTGAACAGTGTCTTTAGCAGCACTGGGAAGGGGCCGGCTGGCAACTCCGCACCCCAGTTCAGAAGCCCCGTGGCCCTAGCGGGGATGCCTGGCCCAGCGCAGAGGATTCGGGGCCCGGCCAGGCAGCCTGCGCCCTGTCCCGGCACACGGGCAGAGAACGTGCCAGGAACCCTCACGGCCACCTGCTGCAGTGGGTCGGCTGCTGGCAGGCACGCTCCATTCCAGGGAAGCTCATCCACAATTCCTTAACTGCTCGCCGAGGAGTTCTAAGGAATCCCAAGAAGATTACACCGTCTATCAGTAGAGCCCAGTTTTAAGGAACTGGTCTGCAACTTAACAGCAGACTTCCTGCTTTCTGGACTCTTCTGGGACTTGTGTATGAACTGCACCAAGGAGGGGAAGAAATTATCGAGCACAAGTGGCGATAAGATGCCTGGGATGCCCGTACCACATTCCAGCCCCCCCCCCCCCCATTTCCAGTTCTCTCCCCACCGCCAGGAATCTGTCAGCATTCTAGTACCTCCCAAGCACACTGCCCTCACCAGGCTGGGCATGGAGTCCCCCCCAGGGTCTTTGTGCTGACCCTGGCTGACCTCTAGCCATGCCCAGGGCCCCCCAAGCCTGCCACTGCCCCCTCAAGTGTGGGTGGCACCTGTGTGGCTTCGCCGGCAACACAACTCCACACCTGGACACTGGAAACTGCAGGCTCGGTGGCTGCTCCAACGCAGCCGTGGCAGCTTCTCTTCTGCCTGCCCTTTGCTAACCCTTCCCATCCAAATGCACACTCGAGTGTTGGTTTTGGATCGGCGCTTGCTGGAAGAGGCCTCCCGGGGCAGCTTGGCCCCGCTGTTTCATTTGCCATCCTCCTCTGAGCCCGGGGCATGGGCTTGGCCCGCAGGTGAAGGGGCTCGGGGGCAAAGGGGCTGCCGCCAAGCGACGGGCTGCTCAGGGTCGCCATCAGCCAGCCCAGAGGGCACCCTCAGCTTCTTCCTCCTGTAGGAAATAGTTAAACTGCTGCTTTTGCAGAAAATGGCAGGTAATTATCTTTTTGCAGCTGGCTATTCTCAAAGAAAACAAGAAGAAATGTGGAGGGGAGAAAAAGATATAGTGGTACCTTGGCTCACGAATGCCTCTGTTCACGACTAAATTGGGTTGCGAACAGAAATTTCATAAAATGTTTGCCACAGGTCGCAAACTCTGCATCAGGTGAGGATCACGAGTGCGCCCGCCTTCCCTGCCCGAGCGTGCCTGCTCCCCCCCCAAGTGGGCCCGCGATCACGCCCATCTCCCTCCACCCCCCCTGCACGATCGCTGGGGGGGGGGTGAGATGGCCGCGATCGTTGTTGTTCTTTGTCAGTTTGCTTCAAATGTTTGTGAGTAAAAAAAAAAAAAAAAAAAACAGTTGCAGAACAGATTGACCTCATTTACATTGACCCTTATGGGGAAATTTGACTTGGGTCACGACCAGAGTCCTGGAACGGATTAAGTTCGTGAGCCAAGGCACCACTGTAATTGGCTCGGAAGAAAGTTTGCCACTTCCTTTCTCATTTTCCCAGTAGTTTATGAGACCGGGGGGGGGGGGGGTCACAGGGCAAAACTGAGTAAGATCAAGATGAACTAGTGAACTTGTAGTGAGCAGTGCGCACGCTTAATAGGCTTATGAATAATAACTGACACGCCTCTCATAGGTAATGGGCTCATTAGCACGGACATGGGATGCTTGAGTGGGTCGGGAACATGCCAGGGAGCAGAACAGGGGTGGATGGAGACGATTGTGACCTCCTCGTAGCCCAGCCAGTAGGTGAGGGGAGGAGGGAACTTGCGAATGGGGAAGGGGAATACGAGGCTATGCCTTTTGTGAAAATGGCGCCGAGGTGCGCGCCCGCTCTTGCAAGAACCTACTGAACCAGTGCTGCTTGCTACTTTGTCTCCTGGGTCGTCACTTTTCAGAACTATATTCCATTCCAAACCGGCCAGGAAGGAGGGCGAAGGACTGCCCCCCTCCCAACAGAGTCCCGGTTCCACTGTGCCTTTGCTTCGTATGGCCAGTAGTTATAAGCCACTCTGAGAGTTAGTCTTGGCTAAAAATCAGGGTAGTCCAAAATAGGATAAACATGATAATAAACAGAATCCACACCTACACAAGTTTCTGTACTGATGCCTGGCTAATATGAAGAGTTGGTGTACATCTGATGGATTGCTAAATTGACCCAAAGGTCAATAATTAACCAGCTTCCTTTAAAAAATGACTGCAAAAGCTTCAGTCACGGTGAGTTAGAAAGGAGCAGAGTGGGGTCAGGCTTGTTTCTGAGTGTGAGATTTAAAACGCCTTGAGACAGGATTCGAGTGGGTACAAGCAGTTTATTCCATACAAAAAGTGTCGGCAAAGGCTGGCTCAAGGCCTCAGTAGTCTGAGAAACAAAGAGCAATCTTTTACTGTTTACAAGAGATTTTATGCATTCCTTTCCCCATGCTCAACACTCTCCCCCTTCGCCATTGGCTGGTTACTGAGAGGTCACAATCTTCCCCATCCGCCTACATCATACGACTCCTTCATATGTTCCCCCCTCCCGCTCATACATCCCATGTTCATGCTAATGAGCCTATGAGAGGTGTGTCATTTACCATTCATAAACTTATTACGCTTGCGCTCTGTGCCTAAAAGTTCAACAGGACAGCTTGGCCTTGAGAATTCTTCTAGAGGCCAAAATGTTTCTTAAATCTTGTGGGGAGGATGAGATAATGAGAACAGGCCTTCCTCCAGGCTCATTATCTCCAGTTGTACAGTAATCGATTCCCTGCTCTCCTCCACTGAAGGCGACAGTTTGACCACTGCCCCCCCCTCCACTTTTACCCTCTCTGGTATTTTTTGGAACTTTTTATATAAGAAACATTATGACTCTTAGAACAGCCATTTACATGTTTTGCTTCTCAGGCTTTTTTTTTTTTTTGCCTTAAGAGACTTCAATGATCCTGCCCTATTCCTGTTTTTCACCCTTAACACTTAGTAACATTTCATTTCTCACACGGGCAAAGATGCTTAGGACTGTGAAACCACAGAAAGGGTGTGGGCGCATCTGGAGAAGGGACCCTGAGCAGGTATCTGGGAATTGCGATCCGGGAAATCCCAAAGGATGGGCCAAAACGGACAGAACGATCCCCAGCGGCAGCTTTGCCTTTCCTCCTCTTCCATTTATAACCCAGAGTTGCTGCGGGGCCCAGCCTGGATTTTAACCTTCCTCCACAGGCCACACTGTGCCTGGAAGCGCATTCTGGGTCGGAGTTTAACAAGGGCACAAACCTGTGCAAGGTTAGGACAGCCCTAAAGCCAAGCTTGAGCTTGCACAGGGGTGTGGCTCCACGTAAAACAACTCCTCCGTTTCACTGTATATTCGTTATGCGTGTGACTTTTCACGCTGGCCGAGGTGATGGGGGTTGTAGTCCAAGATATCTGGAGGCCGCTGGCTTGGGAAGGGCTGCCTCGCAGACCCCAAACATACGTCTGTCATGGGCAGGGGCCCGGCAAAGCGCGGCCGGCCGTGCCAGTCTGCCGCGCTCCGGCTCCCGGCGCGCCTTCCCGAGCACCGCGAGCTTTCGGTTTCGGTTTTGGTTTCCTCTTGCTTGGCGGCGCAGGGAAATGGGAACTGCCCGGCGGCGCGCCGACCGCTTCTGTTTCCCGCGAGGCGCCTCCTCCGGGAGACCCGTGCGCAGCAGCGCGGCTATAAGGGCGAGCGCGCAGGGCGCCGAGCGCAGACGGCGCGACTCTGCGGGATCGGTACGGGCGAGGCTGGACGCTGCCATGGTAAGGCTGGCGAGGGGCCGCTCTCGGCAGGGGCGGTGCGCGGGCTCTTGCTCTCTGCGTGCGCGCGCGCGCGCCGTCCCCGCCGGGCGTCCCCTGCCCGGGGAGCCGCTTCGCGGACGGCCCGCTGGGCAGGCGCTTCCAGCCCGCTCTGGTCAGGGGCGGACTGGGTCGCCCGGGGCAGGCGCCGCCGCGCGGGGAGCCTGCTGCCCGTCGGGGCTGCCGCCAGAAGGGGTCCCGGCTCGCCCCTCCTGCGCGGAAGGGAGCGCCCCGTTGTGCTGGGGGGGGGAAGGCAGTTTTCTCCCGGGTGAGGCTGGACCGTGACCCGGGCAAGAGACATCGGTGGGCTCTGGGCTCGGGACCGAAGATGGGGCTGACCCTGGTACAGACACGGCTGGGATCTGTTCTCCCAGATGCGGTAGCTGACAGCCCTGCCCGGCTGGATGTCCCCATGTGGATGATGGGCATTGTAGTAACCACAGATCAAGGGGGCAGCTGGTCAGGGAGGGCTGCCAACCAGCCCCTCCTGCAGAGAAAGATGCTAATGTGAGTACTTTGCACACGAAGGATTCCTTTTTGGCAACCAGTGTGTGGATCTCTGCAATGGTACAGTCCTACCCTCAGAAGAGGGTATGGTTCTTGGAAGGGTGTGACAGGATTCAGTTGATAACTTTCTTCTAAACCATCCAGGGAGTTCTGGCTTCAGGAAGTATAGAAATTAAAATAGCAATAAGAGCCACCTGAATTCTCTGCCCGAGCAACTCTGGAAATGTGGTTCTGCGCTGCCCTGCAGCTGCCTCCACCGCCGTTCCCAGGATGCGCCAGACGCTGCCTGGCGTTTGAGGCTGGCTTGCAGCAGAGCTGCCTCAGAAGGCAGCTCCCGGAACTGCTTGGATTGCTCCTTCAGTGTCAGCCCTCCTCGAGCTAGTTCCCTCTGGAGTTGTTGCACTACGATGCCCATCCTGGTGGATAATGATCATGGCAGTCCAAGGCATCAGGACAGCACAGGATAGGGAAGGCAGGGCTACGTGTGGCTCTGGCCGTGCCTGGGGGAGAAGGCAATTTAGAAGGAGAAAGAGGAGGCAGCCAAACTTCAGTCTTAACTGGTTCATCCCAGGGACTGGGAAGATGTGGGCTTCCCAATTTTGTAGGACCAGTCTTCCCATTGGGCATCTTGGCTGGGACTGGTAGGAGCTGGAATTCAATGACATCGGAGGGGGGGGGCTGCCTCCCCACCCCAACCTCCCATTAATCCACATTCAGGGGCGTGCTGCTAACTGGGACACTCTGTCCCTGGTTGAACACCCCTGAAGGGATGCAGCCGCGCAGCCCTGCAAGGGGAGGGGGCAGCCACGCCTCCCCACTGTGTGTGACTCGGTTCTTTGTCCTCTCCTTCCGCAGGCTCTGCATTTGAACGTGAAGTTCCTGACCGGGAAGCTGCACTCCCTGGACATCCTGGCCAGCAGGACCGTCTGGGACTTCAAAGTCCAGGTCGGGCATCAGGCTGGGGTGTCCCCCTACCAGCTAAAGCTGGCTTGCCAGAGCAGGGCCCACGTGGACCTGCGAGATGGCACGCAGCTCTCCGAGTACGGGCTGCAGTCGGGGGACACCATCTTGCTGATAGTCAAGCAGGAGGAATCCATCACCATCTTTGTGCGGAACCCCAAAGGTGGAAGCAGATCCTACCAAGTTCTGCCTTCAGACCTGGTGGACCACTTCAAAGCCCGGGTTCAGGAACAGGAGCAGATCCGGACGGAGCAGTTCTACCTGAACTATGAAGGGAGGACTTTGGAGAACGGCCACAGGCTGTCAGACTACACCATCGCACCCCACGGCACCATCTACTTGAACCTGTACCTCCGTGGGGGCTGAGATCTGGTGGACGGATCAGCAAGGGGCCCCCTGACCTTAGACCAGTGCTTCTGCATGTGTCCCTTCTCCTATACCCAACTGGGGCTGCCCCCATTCCCTCCCAGTCCAGCACAAGTCTTACAGCGGTGTATCCATCTAGGAGCAGCCATTCCATCGCCCCCTCTTTGACCTGTTCCCGTAGCTGGCCGAGAGAAGAATCCTGCAACGCCAACTAGCATCTGGAGCTTTGCTAGGCCTCCGCCCGCTTCTCATCCTTCTGTCGTTGCATGTTGCCTCCTTGAAGTGTTAGCACGGAGGCAGGAACAGTCTTGTGGCACAAGGAACCTTTTGGTGGAAGAGTGTAGTTCTGCTAGTGGTTTTGCCTGTCTTTGGCTCAACTTTTACATATTCTTAGCATGCTTTTCGACAATTGTTAAATGATACAACACATTATTCTTTGCTTAATAAAGAAAATACAAACTGGCTGGTGCTCTTTGTCCTGAAAAGCATCTCTGTGTGTTTGGCATTGCAGAATTCTGTCACGGGGGGTCATCTTGGGGCTTTGGGGCAGTTGGCAGACTGTTGGGGTTCCTCGTGCTGCAGAGCTTCGCGTGCCTGTGAGATGTGGCTTGAACCTTGTTCAGCTGCAATGCTTCCGGGTGCCTTTGGGTCCCTCAGCCTAGCCTCCTTCACAAGATTGTTGTGAAGGCAAATGGCAGCGACCTGTCTGTGCTGCGCTGTGCTCTCTGGCGGGTGGGAGAAATGCAAACCAGAGAGAATATGCTGCGCTAAAATAGTTCTGATTCTGCAACCTGTGTTCTGCAATTTTACTCAGCTTGCAGAGCCTGGTTTTTTGCGGCTTATTTCAGGCCCGGCCGATGAGGAGTGACTAGAGGCACCTGGAGTCTTGGCCACTTGGGCGTCCTGCGATCTCACTGATCAGCCTGCTGGATCCATGCCCTGCCATGCTCCTGATGCTTCTCCAGGCATTTAAGCCATAAGGAACAGAGGATAGCTGGATTCCCCACTCCCGTGTTTTGGCAGCGAAATAGCACAACTTCTCTGCAGAATTGTGCCCCCCACCCACTTCAGCAATAGGGCCGCCACATGTCCTTGTGGCCTGGCTCCTCTGCTCCTGATGGCTTTGGGAATAAAAAGAAAGCGACTCAAGGCCTTGCCCAGCATCGAAATGTGGCATTCCATGCGCGGAAGCTGATGTGTTTGCTTCCTTGGGAGATCCCGCTCGGTCAGGGTCTGGAGCAGCTGGCAGGGCCAAGCACGAGAAATGCCCAAGACATGCCTGAGGGGGGTGGATTTGATTATTAAAGGGCACTTGCCCCTCATTAAAAGGGGATGCTGAGCTGTTCCCCAGGTAGAGGGGCTGCCGCTTGTGCCTGCCTCCTGCTCTCCACTTCCTGAATTCCCATTCCCGCAGCCCCATCCTGATGGGGGGTGGGGGGAGGCCTGGAGCACCCTGCCCACCAGTGGCGCCATGCAGAGCACACCTTCCGTGAAGAGCCCTTTCCTCCGCTTTGAGCAAGTGGTGGGGCCGGGCTAGATGACCCCCGAGGCCTCTTCCAGCTCCACAGCTCCCTGAATCATTCCGCTGTCAGCTGCTTCGCAAATCCCCAGGTCTGGAGCCGGTGCCAGGCAGGTAACGCCCAGGCGGGAGGCCGGGCCTGGGAGCATCTCTTTGCAGAAGGCCTGCGTGCTGCAGGGAAAGTGTGTGGCTGGCGTTGGGTTGCCTTGGGCTGCGGGGAGGCCAGCGCTGCGTTGCCTTGCGTGTGCGCCGAGGGGAGCTGCTGGCAACTCGCCGAAGGCCCGGGCCTGTGGGTGGAGCAGAGGCCTGTGACATGCTCTGGCGACGGAGTGCGAGTCCTCGGGAGCTGAGTGAGTGGCAAGGCTGTCGTGCTGCGAGAGGAGCCCAGAGGTGCAGCGGCCCATGCCTTAGACACGAGGCCAGCCTCTTTGGCCTCACCGACTCTCCGGGCCCCCCCGCCTCAGCCCGTGGCGTGAGGGATGCCCCTTCCCTGCAGCGTGGAGGCTCTCCCGTGACTGCCAGACCCAGCTGTGGGGCCTGGCCTGGCCCTGCTGCTTCCCAGGGCCAGGCCTGCAGCGGCAGCTCCGTGTGTGTGTGCGTGTGCGCACGTGCGCACACGCGCATGGGTGTGTGCGTGTGCATGCTCCATCCTGGGGTGAAACAGCTTTGGAAAGGAAGGGAGGTGCCTGACCGTAGCACTGGGGAGGTGGAAGGTCAGTCTTCAGGCCCAGTTTAGCCCCGAATACTAAGGCCAGGGCAGAGAACGAGGAGGGCGTGGGGCATCCCTGGAAGCCTCTCGCTGGCTGGCCACTTTGCTGACAGGAGCCAGGGCAAAGAGGCCTGGTCAGGAGTCCTTGGCTGAGCCGCAGGATCTTCTTTGGCTTTTCTCGAACGTTCAGTGCATCTTGGGTCGAGACGATCTTCTCAGAGCAAGCACAGCCTCGGGGGGAACTTGCCACTGCTGCCCCCAATCCAGGGTGCAAAGTATATGGGGCAGAGAGCGGAGCGCTTTGGAAAGGGGCTTCCAAGATGCATGCAGGCACAGCAAGCTGCAAGCTGCGAAGCGGCAGAGTCCACAGGAGGGTGAGCTGGGCAGGGAAGCCTTTCCTGGCCCCAAATGGTGTGTGTGTGTGTGTGTGTGTGTGTGTGTGTGTGTGTGTGTGAGAGAGAGAGAGAGAGAGAGAGAGAGAGACAGAGAGAGAGAGAGAGAGAGAGAGAGAGAGAGATATAAACACTGGCCTTACTCAGGCCGTGTGGTGTAGGGCTAGGTTAGGCATGGGGCTCAGGGCCAAGATGCCCAGTTCAGACTCCCACTCGGTCGTGGTCTTGGATCGGTAGTTATCCTTTCTCGGACTAAGCAGCACTGAAAGGTTGTTGTGAGATAAAGGGAGGAGTGGCGGGATAAAAATGGAGGTGAGGTGTACACGATTTGCATCACTGGCTGAGGGAGCAGCCAAGAAAAGCAAAAAGCGGAAAGAACCAGGGTAAAAATGTGTGTGTGTGTGTGTGTGTGTGTGTGTGTGTGATAAAATAAACACATAAAGCCCGACGCCCCCCGCGGCGCCGGGTAGTGTCAGGAGTGTAGCCTCCAGATGTCTTGGGCTTCAAGCCCCATCAGCCCCAGGCAGCATTGCCAATGGTCAGGCTGCCAGGTGTTGTAGGAAAAAGCTTCTGGAGGGCCCCCGCCGGGGGGGGTGCCTACCCTGGGGAACTGGGGGGGCCCAGGCCCGTCCTCCCGGCTGCGCGAACTCTCGGCGCGGGCGGAAGAGCCGGGCCGGGCCGGGCCGGGCCGGGCCAGGCGAGGGCGAGGGCCGCGCGCGCAGGGAGGGGACCGGGCGGGGGCCGGCGCGCACCGCCCCCCTGTGGCCGCAGGGAGCGGCGCCGCCACAGGGCCGGCGGCTATTGTCTTGCGCGCCGCGGGAGCAAAGGCGGCCGGCGGCGCTTCTCCGGCAGCTCCGGGAGTCCCCTGGCTTGGGAAGCAGAGCGTGGCAGCGGCGCGAAGCGCTCCGTGCGAGTGCTGTGAGGACAGCGAGCCGACAGAGCCCACGCTGGCGGCAGGGCCAGGGAGAGGGAGCAGCCCCGCTGGCCCCCAGCGCCATGCCCTTCCCACCCCTCTAGGGCGACGGTCTCCAGGTGGGCCACAGTCGCCTCCAGTCCCTGTGCGGTTCTCAGCACGGGGAAGGGCCATGGGGGCTTTCGGGGATTACGTCTGGAGCTATGAGACCCCCAAAGTGATGGTGGTGAAGAACCGGAACCTTGGCATCACCTACCGACTGGTCCAGCTCCTTATCTTGGTCTACTTCATTTGGTAAGTGACGCCACCAATGTACTAGTCGATATGGGGGATCTGGGGGGGGAGGGCTCCAGAGACCCCTGGGGTGGCCAATGCCCGCAACTCTCATGTTTGCCTTACCCAGGCACATCACAAGGAAACTTTGCACATGAAAGCAACATGTGCGTGTGTGCAGGCGTTGTGCAGAGCTGATATCCAGCATGGACTCATCTTAATTAATGGTTTATATTTATATTAGCATTGCATTGCATGATATCCTGGATGTCTCCCTCTTGCAAGGAACCCAGGGCAACCTACAAGTTTCTCCCCATTTCCAGTTTGTCCTCACAGCCACAGCCCCATGAGGTAGGTCAGGCTGAGGGGCAGGGACTGGCCTGGGGTCACCCAGGGAGCTCCGTGGCCACGTCTGGGCCAGAACCCAGGTCTTGAGTCCCAGCCCGGCACTCTCACCACTGCGCTGTGCCTGTCCTCAGCACCGGCAAACTAGAGAAAAACATACGTAATAGAGTGAAATCCCTGCCCCATGGAGAATACAGTCTGGATTGCAGGCTACCGACCAAGGGTGCGCTTGCTTTCCTGTGAGCAAGGGACCCCGTGAGCCCTTTGCATAGCATTTAAAAGAATAATCCACAGTTCCCTGCAACCCGAAGGGAAAGTATGTTGTGATGTCACACGCTTGAGCTGCAAAGCCTGCCAGTCCCAAAATGCGCAATACAGTCACCCTCTGCAGTGAGACCCGGGCCCCAGGCCTGTGCCAGCCAGCCAGTGCCACTTCCCAGCCATGCCAGGACTAGAGCAGGGGTGGACCAAAGCCCCTGTCCCTCCGCCCCACTGAAAGGGCAGTCTGAGGCCCTGCATGACCTCCCTGGACCCAGAGAGTGCCGCACCCCCTTGGAATGTGGGGCGAAAGGTGACGGCAACCCTGCTTCCCAGCCACACCTTTCCACCCGGGATATGTGTGTGCCACCAGAAGGTACAGGACGCCTGAGCAGACTTTGTCCCTGAGGCTGGTTCTTGCAAAGGCTCGTCCTCCTGGGCTCCCTCTGGCCGTGTGCCGCCGGGCAGCTGCCTGTGCAGAAGCAGAGGACTGAGCCCTGCGCAGCACTGGGGACGCTGGCCCACTGGCACGCTGGGGCACTGCTTCCAGAAGCCGGCCTGGGGCTCTGCTGCTGCCCTTCCAAGGCAAGCGTCTGTTGGGATGAACTGCCCATCCCGAGAGCACTGGGAGGCTGGCTGGATGAGAGTTCTTGCAGGCACACGCAGAATGCCTTCTTGGGATGAAGACTGCTTTCGTGACTGTTTGCTGAATCTGATCCTTAGCCTCAGAGTGGAACAAGCAGAAATGCACTGTGAGGAGGGGCAACGGGCATTGCTCTCCTGATGGGGCTGAGCCACGGCCCTTCAGTGGCCGACGAGGGGGTTTGGCTGTGCTGTGCCGTGTGCCTCCTGCCTGATCTCTGGCTGAGTCTGGCCAAGCAGGCCGTGGGCCCAGGACGCCTCAGGCTGGAGTGCCTCTGTCCATCACTCAGGTTTGTGGACGCTTCCTCGGTTTTGCCCCAGGTACGTGTTCATCGTTCAGAAGGGCTACCAGGAAAGTGAGTCCGGCCCCGAGAGCTCCGTCATCACCAAGGTGAAAGGGGTCACCCGCTCACAGCACAAGGTCTGGGACGTGGAAGAATACGTCAAACCGCCGGAGGTGAGGACACGAAAGTGCCTTCCCTGGGCGGACAGGAAGGCAGGGCTGGGGAGCCTGTGAGTTGTGCTCCCCAGGTAGACACCTCTGTGATATGCAGTTGGTTAGCTGAGGTGAGTGTGCTGGACGTGGCCGGGGGAGCCCTGGCTTCAAGCCCCACTTGGCCAAGCAGCCGGGGAGGTGGCTTTGGGCTGAGCGCAGACTTTTACCCAAACCCACCAGGGGGATGAAGTGGGGAGGGGGGTCATTTTCCTAGGACTGAACGACCAATGTGTACTTCTGGCTCTGAGTTCTTATACAAGAGGACAGTCCAATCCTTGGAAAAGAAATACTCAAGACCAGCAACCCCTGTTGCTCAGGACTAACTTAAATCTCTCACAAATTAGACTGCTGAAAATGAAGAATGGGAAATGCAAGTTCTTTCTCTCCTTTCCTCTCCAGGCAACTGGGAAGATCCAGGGCTCAGGTCCACAGGACCAAAGCAAGCAAGCAAGCACAAATTTGCATCCACTCTACAAATGCTAGTGTGTGGGGTCTTTAAAGGACCGCGTCTCCCACGGATAACCCTCCATAGAAAGGGATGCGTGGACAGGGGAGAGGAGGAGAACCCTCAGGCAGAAAGACTGAAAGGGGGCAGCAGGGGGGCAGTGCATGTGGGTGAAAAGCTGGCAAATCTAGGGGGTTCCAATTCAGCAGAGGCCATCAGGGCCCCTGGACCTTAATTGCAACAAGTGCCAGTGCAGCAGGGGAGTGGGGCAGAAGGCCTTCCAGACGTCTGGAAGCCCTACTGGGCCACCCCTACCACCACCTCCGAGGCAGAGGATCCTGCAAGTGCCTCTGGCCAGTCCGTTCTCTGGGGAGACGAGAGCCGCGGCTTTGCTCTGGCTCCGGCAATAGCCCATTTCAAAGCTTTAGGGAGACTGGGTACAAGGGTTCGGTCTTACGGCAGCTGGGCACTCCCAGGCCAGCTGGCTGCTTGCCTTCTCCTCTTGCCTCCTTCTCTTGCAGGGAGGCAGCGTCTTCAGCATCATCACTCGCGTCCAAGTCACCCCCTCGCAGACGCAGGGGACTTGTGCTGAGGTAGGAAGGTTGAGACCCATTTTCTCTCTGCTTGGATGCCTGTAAAACCCCACTCCAAAGTTCCCCTCCCAAGCAGGCGAGCAGCACCTGCTGGCCAGCCAGCCGGCCGGCCGGCCAACCTCCTCTAGGATCGGCGTGCAGAGCGGCTGTGCTGCTGGCACCTGCACACAGGGAGTGCCTGCAGAGCAGGGCGGAAGGCGCCTAGAAGGCGTTCAGGCCTCCCTCCTGTCTGGGACGTTGCACGGCCCCAGTTCCAGACCCAATCCAGGTCTGTGTGTGAGCGATTCCCCTCTGCGGAGAGCAGGGTGGAGCCAGTCCGCACAAGAACCAGTCTTGCTGGGTGCTTTGTCTGATGCCCCTTGCCTCTTTGGGAGGTGAAGCTTACCTAAGCAGAGAGCAGCTTTAGGGCTTCCTTACAAGAAGCGTTTAACCCATTACTTTACCAAGGCTTCTGATCCTTTGTGGGACAGAAGTTTTGGGGTGGGGAGGGGAATGCTTTGCTGCCCCTTTACATGTCCCATCTCACAGCCCTTGCATGGTGCCACGGCATGGAGGAGCCACAAGGCGATTCTCAAGATAACAACAGGCTTTCTGGGGAGATGCTGGCAAAGCTCAGGGCCAGCCCCTGCAGCTCGTGGCATTGTGTACGGGACCCACAAGCGTCTGTGTGAAGACCTTGGGGAGAGAAGTCCTCGCTGCCAGGACCATAGGCAGTCGGGCTACTGCTGCGACATGTCCGATAAACCTAGTTGCAAACCGCCCTCCTGGGTAATAGGCAAAATAAGCAAAGAGGAAGACAAGGATGACTTTGCCTTCTTCAGCTAGAATCAGGTGACCTGCCACCAGACCTCACGCCTGAACACCGGGCGCCACGAGACAAGGCTAAGAAACGGAGCGAGTTGCTCCCTCAGCCAGACTAAAATGCAAATAAAAGGGGGGTGGGGGGGCGGCGGCGGACGGCAGGGGTCCCAAGAGCCAGCCGCCCTGCCCGCCCCAGGGCGCTCCCGTTGCCGCCGCCTTGGAGCCCCGCCTGCCCCGGGGATCGGGGCCCGGAGGGACGCCTAACCAGCGTGCGCGCTTGCCCTCCGCAGAACGCGCGCGCCCTGTGCCGCTCCGAGCGCGACTGTGCCGCGGGCGAGGTGGACCCGCTGGGCCACGGTGAGTGCCGCGGGGCGCGCGGGGCTCGCCTGCTTCGGCCGGCGGTGCGGGGCAGCCGCCGCTCCCTCGGCCTCGGGCCGCAGCGGGAGGGCGCGGGGGGGGGGGGCCGCCCGGCCTGAGCGCCGACCGCTCCCCCCCCCAGGAGAGAAGACCGGGCGCTGCGTCCCCTACAACCGCACCAGGAAGACCTGCGAGATCGTGGCCTGGTGCCCGGTGGAGGAGGCGGCCGCTGCCAGGTGCGAGGGACGCGCAGCGGAGTGGGGGGGGGGGCAGGCCGCCCGGCCCGCGCAGGCGGTGGGCGCGACGGTGCTTGCGCGGCGCTCCTCGGGCTCGCGCGCGGTTTTGCGGGGGCGCCGCCGCCGCCCGAGGAAGGGGATCCCGGCGCGGAAAGGCACGCCCGTTGGCCTGGGCAGCCGTCGACCTCGCGGCCGCGCACGGCGCCCTGCCGTCCAGCCCGGACCGCGCCGGGGTCACGCGCCGCAGGACAGCGCGGAGGCGGGCCGAGCGCGTGGCTCCGCCGAACCGGTCGCGCAATCCTGGGAGGGAGGGGTGCGCGCGCGCGTGCACGTGCACCCTTTCCAGCCCAGCCTGATCTTGGCACCGGCTTTCTTGCTTGCTAGTGAGAATTTGGCGAAGATGGCACCCGAGTTCACCATTCTGATCAAGAACAGCATCCATTTCCCCCGCTTCCGCTTTTCCAAGTAAGATCTCTGGGGAGGCCGAAGGGAGGGTGATTGCTGGACCAAAGCAACTGGTCGTCCGCTTGTGGTGGAAGCTGCAAAAGAGGTCAGGAAACCTCATCTGGCCAAAGACCTGGAGGCAGGCTGAGTGGTGCCCGCCAATGACCCCAGCGCCCTCTTCCGCTGTGCCAATGCGATCAGGTGTGTGCTTCTAATTATTGCGTTGCTCCCCCATCCACCCACTTAGAGGGAACATAAAGGACAGCAGAGACGGGTACCTGAGGACCTGCATCTTCAATGAGACCACGGACCTCTACTGCCCCATTTTCAAGCTGGGCTTCATTGTGGCGCAGGCGGGCGAGAACTTCTCTGCGCTGGCCGAGAAGGTAACAGTTCAGCTGCAGCGCCGGCTCCAGCCCTCCTGCTTGCCTTCCCTTTCACGGCAGCAGAGCAGTGCGCTTGGATGGCTTTGAGAAAGGACGTGACCAGTGCATGAACCAGCTGGGTTTGCAGTGGGACTGCTTGACACTAGCAGGTTTAAGGGGGCTCCCTGCCACAAAAGGCTTCCAGGGGGGCCGCCTTCAGGCCCCGCAGCTGCCACCTTGGATGAGCCCTGCAAAGGGGGGCATGGGGAGCGGCGCAGAAAGCACCTCCAGGCTCAGATGGACTTGACAGCCATGGGGAAATAATGAGGTCTCTGCTTGGCACCAGAAGGGCACTCCAGGCACCAGGCAGGCCGGTTGCGGGGGGGGGGGGGCGTTCCCTGGATCGGCTGCTACCACCAAAAAGCCCCTTGGACTCGTAGTCTCCGCAAGACACCACACCCCAGGGGAGCACCCAGAGAAGGGCCTCTGGAGACCCCCTTGTGGTGTGGGCAGGGGCTTCTGGCGCGTTCATCAAGTTGAGCACTAGGTCCACCCTCACTGTTTGAAATCTCTGGCTGAAGTTGTGCAGAAAGGCCCCGGTCCCTGCTTCAGAGGCTGCCCGTTTCTTCCCCCCTGCATGGCACCGCATTGCGTCAGCAGCGTCGGACTTTGAGCGTTGCCCAGCCGCGGGGGCCGCCGGTGTCCGTTGCGCATCGTCGGCTCGCGTAAGTGCCTGCCTTTCCCCATCCATCCACCTTTATAGCCCTTCAGGGACTGAGCACAGGTGGGCCCGTCTGCCGTCCTGGCATCCGAAGTCCCGTGACGGACAGGAGCCACACCCGGGGGCTCTTGGGATTTGCTCGAACAGCCCGGAGAGCCGGACTGCGAGCTGCCGCTTCTGCTGCTGCTGCTGCAAGGGCCACATGCTTTTCTCTCGTGTGCATGCACACGCGTGTGCGCATGTGCTCAGCGGCATATCCACCAGCTGTGAGGAGTCAATGCAATGAGGCGGGTGGAAACTTTTCCATAGGAAAAGAACCTTGATGTGCTTTATCTACTGCTGAAAATTGCCCTTTCCTTCCCAGCATTGCTGGTTCAGAGTGCTGGGTGGTTCCAGGGGGCAGCAGATGCCTCACAGTGCTTGGGAGTGCCCTCCCTGTGGGGGTGCTTCTCCCGGCCACGATCTGCTCAGGCGCTGCACTCAGCCTCTGGGACCATTCTCTGAGCGCCAACTCTGAGGAAGGCTCAGAGGATGATACCAAGGCGGGGGCTTCTCTGTGATGGCCCCGTCTATGGAAAGACCTCTCCACTGAGGCCTTCCTGGCAGCACATTCCTCATCTCGGTCTTCATGCCACTGCTCGTAAAGATGTGCTGAGCTCCCCCGGGGCTGGAGGGGATTGCCAAACCTTGATTGTTTTGCTTTCCCTTTCACAGATCAGTTTTACTGTATATTTTAGCTATTTTAAATTTATTTGAACGCTGTGGTTTTATGATACTTGCATTTTTTTGTAAACAACCCAGAGACCTTCGGCTATGTGGTGGTATAGGAAGGGAGGGGAGGGGAGGGGAGGGGAGAGGTTCTGGAAGAGTGGTGAGGCA